CGGTGGATTGTCATCGAGCTATGGCGCACCATCGCGTGGATCATCGATATCCGCTAGTTACTCAGCACCTATTTCTGGAGGTGGTGGAGTGTCCACCAGCTATGGCGCGCCTACTGGAGGCGGCGGTGGCGGCGGATATTCAAGACCATCTTCCACTTACGGTACACCTAGCACCGGTGGTGGCAGTTTCGGAGGGTAAAATATTTTTTTTACGATATTTTTTTCATACTCGAGTAGCTCTAAGTGAATTAGGATTAAATCGTTTCGAACGAGCACAGCACGTATTGCACACATTAATCCTACTACGGTTCTCCAGCTTCTCTAGTATTCAAATCTCATTCTTATTTCAAGCGAAATGGATTCGTAACATTTTATGAGAAATTGTAGCGCAATATCAGACGAAAAATTCATTCCTGTCAATTACGATTCTTTCGTATCTTCTTTAAATTTGGAAAGAATGCAATTCCATCGGAAATGGTCGAAAGAACGCAGCAGGCTTGAAAAATTTAGCGAGACCAGCCTGTTTTTAATTTATTCTAAAACTTTCTTTCTCTTTTTCGTTGTATATAATTCCATGTACATAAATATGTATCGAGAAACTTTGACAACCACTAATCGAAATGTTGGTATCGTTACCGGTTCTAGTTCCGGTGGATATTCTGGAGGCGGTGGTGGTTACTCTGGAGGCGGAGGTGGCTACTCTGGAGGTGGAAACGGTGGATATTCCGGTGGTGGTGGCTACTCCGGCGGCGGTGGAAACGGTGGATACTCTGGCGGAGGTGGAAACGGAGGCTACTCCGGCGGAGGTGGAAACGGAGGTTATTCCGGCGGAGGTGGAAACGGTGGCTATTCCGGCGGAGGTGGAAACGGTGGCTATTCCGGCGGAGGTGGAAACGGTGGCTATTCCGGCGGAGGTGGAAACGGTGGCTATTCCGGCGGAGGTGGAAACGGTGGCTATTCCGGCGGAGGTGGAAACGGTGGCTATTCCGGCGGAGGTGGAAACGGTGGCTATTCCGGCGGAGGTGGAAACGGTGGCTATTCCGGCGGAGGTGGAAACGGTGGCTATTCCGGCGGAGGTGGAAACGGTGGCTATTCCGGCGGAGGTGGAAACGGTGGCTATTCCGGCGGAGGTGGAAACGGTGGCTATTCCGGCGGAGGTGGAAACGGTGGCTATTCCGGCGGAGGTGGAAACGGTGGCTATTCCGGCGGAGGTGGAAACGGTGGCTATTCCGGCGGAGGTGGAAACGGTGGCTATTCCGGCGGAGGTGGAAACGGTGGCTATTCCGGCGGAGGTGGAAACGGTGGCTATTCCGGCGGAGGTGGAAACGGTGGCTATTCCGGCGGAGGTGGAAACGGTGGCTATTCCGGCGGAGGTGGAAACGGTGGCTATTCCGGCGGAGGTGGAAACGGTGGCTATTCCGGCGGAGGTGGAAACGGTGGCTATTCCGGCGGAGGTGGAAACGGTGGCTATTCCGGCGGAGGTGGAAACGGTGGCTATTCCGGCGGAGGTGGAAACGGTGGCTATTCCGGCGGAGGTGGAAACGGTGGCTATTCCGGCGGAGGTGGAAACGGTGGCTATTCCGGCGGAGGTGGAAACGGTGGCTATTCCGGCGGAGGTGGAAACGGTGGCTATTCCGGCGGAGGTGGAAACGGTGGCTATTCCGGCGGAGGTGGAAACGGTGGCTATTCCGGCGGAGGTGGAAACGGTGGCTATTCCGGCGGAGGTGGAAACGGTGGCTATTCCGGCGGAGGTGGAAACGGTGGCTATTCCGGCGGAGGTGGAAACGGTGGCTATTCCGGCGGAGGTGGAAACGGTGGCTATTCCGGCGGAGGTGGAAACGGTGGCTATTCCGGCGAAAGTTACGCCAGCAACGGAGGCTACCAATATTAATCGGAAGAAGTTTTCATCTCGCGCGACGACCTTCGACCATGTTTCACCAATCATCAACCACCATCGAACGGGCCAAAAGAATTTTAACACATCGACATCCTCCATGTCACGATCCAGACACAACAAACTCATTCCAAACGTTGATCTTAGCCAGACCAATGGAACATCTGCCGATGAGACGAAAAGAAAGGAAGCGGAATCGGAGGTCATTCTCGCGAACCTAAAATCATCGCCCAAGTATTCAGGATCCGCATTAAAAGTTTAACAGTAACGCGGTAACGGCCGCTGCCTTGCGAGAACTTCAGTGTGTATCGTAGCAGGCGTATTTCTGAAAGCAAACGGAAGAAAGGGAATACGAGAAACTTAAAAGATTCGAGACGCTTTTGCTTACCTCTCTTCCTATTTGCTCTTAGGAAGCCGTCCGCTGATAATACTTACCATCGCATCGAATCGAAAGGAGCGAATTTCGTACGCACGAGAGTCTCTGAAAAAGGCAGGCAAATTGGAAAGAAAGGAAGAAAGAGACACGAAGATGAATTCGTTCCTCGTTCAGAGCCTGTAACTTATTTATTTTGTAAAAATGCTTTTTGTACTAATAAAGCCGCTACGCTGGAAAAAGAAACGTAATCACGGATAGAAGTTCATTGCGACACGACCTACCCTTTGTAGCTAGAATAAAGACCAAAGACTATACATATACGTAAGGCGATTGAGCTCGTCGTAGGGTTAGTTGGGCGACGTAGTCGGTCGGTCGATTTATCGATTCCCTAACTCGAATACCGGGAAGGCATGAATAAGTAAGAGTTCTTTCTATTTCTGTCGTAACCTAGCTAAAAACGCGTATCGATATCGGGACCTACGGCTCCTACGTTGATTCGCTCAAATTATAACGGAATGTATCCTGACCTATTTGCCACTCCCTTTCTGCAATGGATGTTCAACGTTAGGTAATGACCACGTTTCTCGAGAATAATTGTTAGCCTCGTTTCTTCAAAAAACGAAGGTCTCCTCTTTAAAATCCGTTCAGAAACGCGAAGACGATGAATTTAATTCGTTACTGGGGATGCTTACGCATTTATGGGAGATTCAAAGGCATAAAAGTGCAAAGAATGCATATATACAAAAATATACAAAATATGCAAAATATTCGTCATCATATCTAACGAGTAAAACAAATCTCTGAGTAGGTTTCATTTCTCCAATTGGGTTTATAAAAATATAAATTTTCATATATCCGCGATGTATTAACCCTTTGACTGCGGCAGACTTTGAGACGTACCAAGCATACCATACGGTAGGAGTTCTGTCGCAACTTACACCAAGAACAGTGAAATTTTTTGTTAGGCTTACATTTCTGAGAAAACATATTGAAATAATTAAAAACACTGAATTCCATTACGTTAAAGCAATATTGTTTATTCATTCGTATTCTCATTTATTCGAAATCACACGTTTCCACAGAATCAGAAATATGAATTATCGTTGTTTCACGTTTGCATGTACTTTTCCTGACCTTTCTCTTATCCCAATACTTCGTTTCAAGGATATAAAAGACATAACTGGAAAATAAACATATTTAAATAATATATGACTGACGGAATATGTAATTGTCGAATTAGCATTCACTTATATCTGGTTCAAGTGATATTAGCTAGAATTGCGGTCGATAAAATTTTCCGAGAGCCTATAGGAGTCTACAGTACCATAAGAGCAATTCTTTTAAGCGCCTTTAGGCTCCTGCAGTATCACAAGTGCAAATCTAATAAGCGCCTTTAGGCGCCAACATTAGTCAAGGTGTTAACCGGGTTAACGACTGTTAATCAAAGTGAAAGTTTTCGAAGCAACGTAGCGTTTTCGATTTCGTGTTTACGTGGCCGTAAATGCAATTCTTTGCGACTCTTATTTCGCTGCTGGGGATAATTATTAAAATAACAACTCTGACTTTTTCGTACACTTTTTATTTTTAACATTTACGATCAACATCGCGTTCAATTTCTCAATTATACACGTATAATATGTCGTATAATACAGTATCGGTAACGCTTTCGTAATACATATACATAGATATGTTCTTACGGGGTAAGTCGGGCATTTTTCTTTGTTTTTACACATAATAATACTCTATGATAGGTAGGCGTCCCAGGCTTGCGAGATAGGACGAAAGTTACAATAACATTAGGTACGCGATTCCGTTTCAAAGCAGGTGAGTAGTTATGGAACACTGCGTTTCCGTAACGCTGCGTATTATTATAGTAACGAGTTCGCATCACTAGCTCGATTGAACCTTTCGTTTCGCGTTCGGCGTTCAGGCAGCCCATCGTTCGCACATTTCTTCTTCGCTTTTTAATTCGTTCGCGATACACGCGAGCGCTCGTTTCTCTTCTCCTCTGGCCAGATCGCTGGATAGTACATCCGAAATTAAAGAGAAATTAAGGAGACACTCGTCGCTCGCAAAAAATGAAGAGGGTCTCCCTAATTCTGTGGAGTTACGAAACCATCGATCTCTTTTTGCGAGAGGATAACCACGCTATATATATATAAATATATATATGAATATATATATAAATATATATATAAATATATATATAAATATATATATAATTATATATATATAAATATATATATAAATATATATATATAAATATATATATATAGTACGTATATATACATGTCTTATATATATTTTTTTATCATGTTTTTCCCTTCTTACGTACTTTCTTACCTTACACGCTAGTGTACCTAATATGTGTATGTATAATGTAGAGCACGCATCATGATATGTATAGATTTTCCGTTACATCGTTGATTACAATGCATGGTATTTGATATGTACGTGACAGTGGCTGTCTCACAATTAACACGTACGCCACTAGAAATACATCGGATCTTATCATATAGATTTATCTACGCAACAATATTCATTCGCATATCGCGAGATTCTCTTTCTTTCCCCTTACACGGTATGCCGTTTCAATGGAACAGGGTGAATTAACGAACCAAGATATGCTATGAATTATTACATTAACCTGTCGTCTCAAACGAGATCCTTTTTATATAGTTTATACTAGATCAGAAATTCAGCTTCTATCGAGAATCGAGATGATATACAGTAACTATTATAAATCATAAAATATAACTTTGTCTATCGTATCATTAAAATACTGGCGATGAAATAATATAGGCAATTCTGAACGTGTAATTCGTATTCTCCCTCACTTGAAGCATCTTCGGTTTCGCGTTGCGGCGTAAGTATCTCATTGACAGAGTAAAATCTTTTAACGATGAGCCAGCATGAAACCAAGCAAACTCATTGAACCCGGAATTCTTTTTTTCTTTTGCTGTTTCTCGCCTAATTGTTCCTTCAGTTTGAGCTACGTGCAATTCCAATCATCCGCGGAGGAACGTTTTACGATCGTCTAATTCTGTTTCTGGTTGTAAAAAGGAGATAGCGAAAAGAACGCGGTTACCAGCTACAAAGTGGCCACACTGGCGATATAATAACGATAATTCCGCTCTCCGTTGTCTGCGAATAGCTTGACTTAACCAGCCAACTCATCGCGGACTTAATAGCCGAGTGAAAGTCTTCTGTCTGTTGACAGCAACCGAATGAAAACACACAGAAGATGCGTCTGTGTATACATCGTGATGCACAGGAAACATTCTCTTCCCTCTGTCATTTGTCTAGATGTAATTTCACTACCGTTGGTCTTGCAAAGACTATATATATATAAATATATATATAAATATATATATATAAATATATATATATAGTACGTATATATACATGTCTTATATATATTTTTTTATCATGTTTTTCCCTTCTTACGTACTTTCTTACCTTACACGCTAGTGTACCTAATATGTGTATGTATAATGTAGAGCACGCATCATGATATGTATAGATTTTCCGTTACATCGTTGATTACAATGCATGGTATTTGATATGTACGTGACAGTGGCTGTCTCACAATTAACACGTACGCCACTAGAAATACATCGGATCTTATCATATAGATTTATCTACGCAACAATATTCATTCGCATATCGCGAGATTCTCTTTCTTTCCCCTTACACGGTATGCCGTTTCAATGGAACAGGGTGAATTAACGAACCAAGATATGCTATGAATTATTACATTAACCTGTCGTCTCAAACGAGATCCTTTTTATATAGTTTATACTAGATCAGAAATTCAGCTTCTATCGAGAATCGAGATGATATACAGTAACTATTATAAATCATAAAATATAACTTTGTCTATCGTATCATTAAAATACTGGCGATGAAATAATATAGGCAATTCTGAACGTGTAATTCGTATTCTCCCTCACTTGAAGCATCTTCGGTTTCGCGTTGCGGCGTAAGTATCTCATTGACAGAGTAAAATCTTTTAACGATGAGCCAGCATGAAACCAAGCAAACTCATTGAACCCGGAATTCTTTTTTTCTTTTGCTGTTTCTCGCCTAATTGTTCCTTCAGTTTGAGCTACGTGCAATTCCAATCATCCGCGGAGGAACGTTTTACGATCGTCTAATTCTGTTTCTGGTTGTAAAAAGGAGATAGCGAAAAGAACGCGGTTACCAGCTACAAAGTGGCCACACTGGCGATATAATAACGATAATTCCGCTCTCCGTTGTCTGCGAATAGCTTGACTTAACCAGCCAACTCATCGCGGACTTAATAGCCGAGTGAAAGTCTTCTGTCTGTTGACAGCAACCGAATGAAAACACACAGAAGATGCGTCTGTGTATACATCGTGATGCACAGGAAACATTCTCTTCCCTCTGTCATTTGTCTAGATGTAATTTCACTACCGTTGGTCTTGCAAAGACGCCTCGCTTAACGAGCGCTATATCTTCTACGCCAGCGTACGCTTAAAAGCTACTTCCGTACGGAACTAACGTCGTTATTTTCTTATACCGTTACCTCGTGATTAAGAAGATGCTTCCTAAGATCTGACAGGTTAAATGAATAATCCGCGTGTAACTTTTAACCCTGTGGTTGGTATGGCAAAACGACCACATTCTAATGATTGAATATCCCTAGTTGGGAAGGAGGATGGTAAACGATAACGACGGATGAGAGTTTGCTTATTTCCAACGACGATTCGTGTCTACTTTAAAA